ATCTAGATTGGTGAAAGTTGACTAGAATTGACGCCTGATCCTCTAATTTCCATGGTTCGTATTATCAGAGAATTCTGTCATCTTGAATCATCGGTCCGTCCTCTCTAGGTGATCTCGTCTTCATGGTTCAAAGNTCGCTTTCAAAGCAACCATCTGTCCATCGTTTTCATTTTGCTTACATACTCTCAGGTTTTTAAGAGTCATCAATAATTCTGTTCATTGAACACTATTCAAAATAAAGTAGTAATTGCATCTCTTGTATGGATCTATAAATTAACCTAACTTTGCTTCCTCTTAATTGCTTACTTTAATGGCTTGATTCCATTCCTTAAGATGACTTCTACTGCAAAACCATGGCAAACGGATCCGATTTCGGCTCAGAAGAAAGAACTTCGAAAGAAAATTGCAGCCCGTCTGGCAGACGTCTCTACCGAGGAAGTTCGACGACAAAGCGAAGCTGTGGCTGAAAAGGTTGGGTGAATTTGAAATTCAACCGTAGACTTTATTTCATACTCTGTGAACCCAGTTGGAAACTGTACAAGTACTTATTCGAACAAAAAGCGGAATGTGGGAAGGATACGGTTTTTGTCCGGGATCGATTTTGGGTTCGGGGCACATCTAACGAAGTCAAACTTTTTAGGTATGAGTAAAACCAATGTTGCAGATTAGTTACTGTGAGTAGAAGGGGTAATGTTAAGAAGAACTTCCAGTGGACCCAAAGATTATCACCTCTTGTTTCATCTAGATTGGTGAAAGTTGACTAGAATTGACGCCTGAACCTCTAATTTCCATGGTTCGTATTATCAGAGAAATCTGTCATCTTGAATCATCGGACCGTCCTCTCTAGGTGATCTCGTCTTCATGGTTCAAAGATGCGCGAAGATTGTCTGTTTATGTCCATACAAAAGGAGAAATCGAAACAGACCGAATCGTTGAAGAATCGCTGAAGCTGGGAAAGGAACTTTTCATACCTCAGGTTTGTAGTTTGTCTTTATTTATTAAGTTATTACAGATTTNCAATTTGTAGAAAATTTGCAGGCCTAAGCTGTTTCAGTTTGCTAAAGGGAATCCCCGAATGCGCCTGCTTCGTGTTCCCTCTCACTCTGATTTCCTAAAGTTGGAACCAACTCTTTGGGGTATTCGACAGCCCAACGACAGCGATCACTGGGAAGATTATGAAGGCACAGGTGAGTCTGTGCAGTCAGATGATACTTTTCGATGCGAATACTCTATTTAGGTGCTCTGGATTTGATTCTGATGCCAGGCGTGGCTTTCACTCTGAATGGATGCAGATTAGGTCATGGAATGGTATGTTTCACTTGCTACTTAATAGCAGTCTATTAAAGCTATTTCCTAATACAAGTATTAATTGTGCAAAATGCTGAAGATTTACTAGAACTGAAAAATTGTTGTAGACCGTATCCCATACACCAATCGATTTTCGTCGTATTTGTAGGGTTCGCTTTGCTCGGATGGGTTCAGATTGTTGGGAAATTCAAATTGAATTCGTTCATGGTTACTCGTGTAGGTCTCATATCTATGGATTTGGTAACTTTGAAGCTTAGTTGGCCAGGGTGACTTCTACCTCGTGGATATACAGTTGATATATCATATTACCGAGAAGAATTCATTTTATCAGACATGTTATTATGACCTTGCTTTGACGTGGGTGCAGGTTGGTAATGCAGAGTAATGCACTACCACCCGTATGGTCGAGAGATCGAAACTCATCGAGAAACCGGCACAGCCAAACCAAACCTCCCACCTTCATGGCCCGTTAATTGCTACCCAGCCAGTTATGCGTGGGTGCACTTTATAATGGGATTTACTGACGCTTCTGAAAGGTTGCCATCATCCTTCCCCTGCATTTATTTTGAAAAGAATTATCAGTATTCTAATTTCAGGGGTATTACGATCGAGCATTAAATGCGCATCGACGACAGTTTGGCGTTCTGCCAGCTCGATACGGTCTGGCCCTAATGCAGCAGATCGTCAACGACGTCCCTCTATCCGACACAGACGTTGCACTTGACGGTATTGTTTTAGCTGCTTGAATCCCTCTTTGATTTCCTTATATTCAATTCATCTTCAAAGGCTTGTTTTTCATCATTAACTCATCCATTTTAATTGTTGACAACCGTCTATATATGAGGCTGGCAAAAGACAAGTACGTTTTTTCTCCATGATCACTTCTTTCATCGACTTTTTGTTCGACATCCCTGATTTACCAGATGTTTCGAGCTTGTTGTGAGGCCACTTTGCCAGATTTGGGTCTTTAATGCAACGCTTCCAATGTTGTACGAAATCTTCTTGTTCACTTTTTCACTGGTAAATTTCTACTTAAAGGTGTTTATTTCGTATTTTAACTGTGATTTTTTCAAGTATTTTATTCTGGAGTGTTAACCACAATCTCGTCCTACAGAGAAGTTTATTTTGCATGCGCGTTTATGGTGAAAGTTATTTGTGTATTAAATCTCTGTTATTTTTTCAACCATGAAGTTTTCACTGGATCGTAATGGATTTGTCTGGGGTTTGCCGAAGAAAGCGGATTGTACTGTTTACTTGCCCAAAAAGGCGTTGTCATAATTATTTGGCTTTTCGAGGAATTCTCTTCTCCACGCATCTGACAGTCCCGACGCGACAGGCAGTTCCATCTCCGCTTGCGAGAGCGGACGAAATGATGACTTCTTGCTTTGCTATCAGTTGTAATGGGTTTTTTCTTTCCACTTTTTTCTCTGTTCTTCTATTACATGACATCGATTTTATAGGTAAAGCAAAAACAGCCACCAAGAATTCCTCTGAACGGTCCCAATTCACAAGAGCTTCACCAATCTCACAATATTAGTCCTTCCACAAGGCAGAAATACCGATAGCGGTGAGTCATTTCATCATAAATTACTTAATAGTTAGCCATACTCAGGCTCTAGCCTTGATCTCTTTCATAGTCTTCATGCATTTTAACAGCTCTCATTTTTTGGGCACTTCTTTACAAACACTTTTTCCGAATTCCCTTCCCATCACTTCAAAAGAGACAGTACTGCAGTAGGTACAATTGCCGATAAGCGGGAGAGGAAGTGTTCCTTTGGTTTCGGTTTTCATTTCCTGGTACATTTTTAATCCTGTTGAAAAAAGTGTAGATGTGTCTGACAACGTGGAAAGGGCATCTGCTTCTTTTTATCAGACAAAAGAAATATTGACAGCAAGAAATATTCCAAGAAAATATCCCAGAGGATATAGTAGCAATGGACTGCAAAGTATCTAAATCACATACTAACCATGAATCTATGAGTACAAAAGAAATTATAATGTTCAACTTGCAAATAAAATATCAAAGCCCACAGCAGTAGACTTTAGATCAGCTAGGATCGATCGCTAAAATGGAGAGGGAAGTCTATATCAGTATCCAGTATAAGCAATATTTCGGATAATTTGGCCTCCATCAATTTCGAAGTCCATCATGCTAGCACTATTAGTACTATAACTGTTGCAAAGTGGTGCGAGTACATTGTGAAGGCCTACCAGGCCGTAAAACTGAAACGAAGTAGGAAAGCTGAAGGTTGGGTGTGTAATAGTAGTAGCTGAATCCCTTCAGTCACATCACCAAGTGGATTCTACGTGAAAAGCACACGAGCAACTATCGTTCCCCATACGATATTTCATGCAAAACTATCCTGAAAGTTTTTTTTTTCTCTATCATACAAGTCCTGCAACAAAATCTTAACGAGAGGGATGGTGTGCTTTAAAGCACACATTCAGATGTTATGGTTGATGTAATTTAATGAACAAGAGCGGATTTGGAGCCATAGAACGTCGTCATTTCCTCATTCTATGCCGCTCTCTGTCTCGAATTTTATTATGGATTGCTTTCGATGGATACACTTCTCTTGACAAAACTCTCCTGAAGCTATGCTACGGTTACAAGGAAATTTCCATAGGAAAGAAGACGGAAGTTTTTTTTTTAGCTGCCTCAGACAAGTCCTGCTGGCCAGCTTACACCGAATGTGTCCTTTCAAAAGTCCATCGAGTGGCTCTATTTTTTGAGATGGGCCTT